TTTTTCATTTTTTTTCACTTTTTTTTTTTTTTTTTTTTGGTTTTTTCGAGACAGGGTTTCTCTGTGTAGCTTTGCGCCTTTCCTGGAACTCGCTTTGGAGACCAGGCTGGCCTCGAACTCACAGAGATCCGCCTGGCTCTGCCTCCCGAGTGCTGGGATTAAAGGCGTGTGCCACCACTGCCCGGCTTTTTTTTCACTTTTTTATTTATTTTTCTATTATCAGCTTGATACAGTATAAATTCTTATGCTAATTATGGAATGTTTCATTGAGGCTTGCCCAGTAATTGAGTAAAACCAAAACCTATTATAAGCCATAGTCATTCTAGGGTCCCCCCTGCTATATAGCCTCCCTGGTTCTGTGGGTTGCAGTCTTATTGTAATTAAGAGGAGCTAGGTGTGCTGGGCATGGTATGCATGCCTTTGATCCCAGCATTTGGGAGGCAGAGGCATGAAGATCTCTCTGTGAGTTCCAGTCTTGTCTACATATTGAGCTCCAGAACAGCCAGGACTACCTAGAGAGACTCTGTTTCAAAACAAAACAAAACAAAACAAAACAAAACAAAACAAAACAAAACAAAACAAAACAAAACAAAACAAAACAAAACAAAACAAAACAAAACAAAACCCCCAAAACAAAAACAAACAAACTAAAAGCCAAGCAACAATAGCAAAGGCTAGGTGTGGAGGTTCTTCTCACAACCTCAGTCCCTGGGAGGTACACGTCAAGTTCAAGACCAGTCTGGGCTACATAATAACAAGACCAGTGTCAAGTTTAAGACTAGTCTGGGCTACATAATAACAAGACCAGTGTCAAGTTCAAGACCAGTCTGGGCTACATAATAACAAGACCAGACTGTAACTTCAGTTCCAGAGGATCAAACGCCCTCTTCTGACACCAGATACACATGTGGTCTGTAGACTTACATGTAGGCAAAACACCCATACACATAAACACATAAAATAAAAATAAAGAAATAAAGAAATCTTTTCTTCTTGGTTGTTCAAGACAGATTTTTTTTTTTTTTTTTTTTTTTGTGTGTGTGTGTGTGTGTGTGTGTGTGTGTGTGTGTGTGTGTGTGTGTAACAGCTCTGGCTGTCCTACAACTTGATTTGTAGACCAGGGTAGCCTCAAACTCACAGAGATCTGCCTGTCTCTGTCTCCTAAGTGCTGAGATTAAAGCTGTGCATCACCACACCCAGCTCAAATAATTATTTTATTTTATGTTTTTTTTTTGGTTTTTCGAGACAGGGTTTCTTTGTGTAGCCTTGGCTGTCCTAGAACAAGCTCTGCAGACCAAGGCCAGTTCTATAGTTCAAGGCTCAAGATCTGTCTGCCTCTGCCTCCCAAGTGCTGGCACTGAACTGCCAAGTAACAACTGCCAAGCTTCAAACAAATCTTTTTTTTCAATCCCAGCGAATGAAATAAATCTTTAAAAAAAAATTTTAAATTTTAATTTATTTGTGTGTCTATGCATCTGACTGTCTGTCTGTTAAGGGTATTCAAACACGTGTGTGTGTGTGTGTGTGTGTGTGTGTGTGTGTGTGTGTGTGTGTGTGTGTGTGTGTACACAAACATGTGTAGGAATGTGGAAGACATAATGGGGCACTGAGTGTGCTTTCCATCATTTTCTGCCCATTCCTCTGAGGTAAAGTCCCTTCCTGAACCTGGGGCTTGTGTCTCAGCTAGGCTGGAAGGCAACAAAGCCCTAAGGACCCTCCTAATTTTGTGGAGATCCCTGGTATGTAATGTGGGTGCTGGGATCTGAAATCCAGTCCTCAGGATTATGAAGCAAGCACTCTTCTGAGTCATCTCTCCAGCCATTTCCCACAGGAAAAAAAAAAAAAAAAAACTGTAAAGAAGAGTGAATGAAATGTGCCCTAAATCCACTGTCAGCTTTGTTCCTTCCTAATCAGACCCTGACTCAACAGCTCTGGAATCATCCATAGCACCTCTGGGATCCTGGGCCCTGGGAAATGAGTTCCAAGTATGGCTTCTCTTGGTTCAGGCCAGCTGTATGCACCCGATGGTCTCCATGCTCAAAGCCAGCTGAGGTTTCCTGGGGCCTGGAGCAGTGGAGCCAAGAGTGCTGTCACCTTGCCGGGAGCTTTTCCCAACTCCTGCCCGATGTGGTTTGCTGGCCAAGTCAATGCCACTGTTTCCACAACATCACTTCCTCTGCAGCGTGAGAAAAGAGGAAGAAAACTGCCTCTGTGACTCTCTTCTTCCCCCAGGGAAAGCACAAAGCTGTTGGAAACAATCAAAGCAGCCCTGTGTGCAGGGCAGACTTTTGTCTGTGCAGTCAGGGGTTGCTGAGCCCGAGACTTCCTGCAGGGACATTCGGCAGCTTTGCAGATAAATAAACGCTCACATTCAGAATGACCAGCCTAGAACACTTTTATGAGCCTTTCTCCTCCCCAGGCTGTACACAGATAATAAATCAAATTAGCATCTCGAACCTCCGGTTCAGTGCTCACCAGCGTCCGTTCTGCTCAAGGGATGAGTGCATTTCCGAGTGGCCGTTTTCAACTACTATCAGCTGGTGAACTCCTTGGAAAATTCGGACACTTCCAACGCTGGATAGGCCTCACACTGAGGTAACAGGGTCCTGTTGGCCATTCCAGACCAGACTGTAAAAGAAGCAGCCAGAACCCCAGCCTTGGAATCCAGATTGGGTTGTAACTTAGAGAGAAAATACACATTCTCATTTCTCGGTCAATAATCATAGGAACATGAGCCAAAATAGACAACTGTCAGAAAGAGAGGGAGGGGTGGGAAGGGAGGGTGAGATGCGGAGGAGGAGGGGGGATTGCAGTAATAATCAGAAACAGAGCAGGCATCTTTCCCATTCCCTGCTCTGATTCATACATGCTGCAGGATAATACTAAATAAAGGAGAAGGCTTTCTTTCAGGTAACCAGAAGTGAAATCTGCTCTTATTTCATAGTTCCCACATTGTGGAATGGAAGGGTTAATTGCTTAGATCCAGGGGTGTGATACCATATAAGAATGCATTCTACCGCACTGTCTAAATATGAGAATGTTTTGGAATTGCATCCTGTCTTGGGCCACCGGAAGGAACAGGAAAGCATAGAGTACCCATGGCAGCTCTCCAGATCACAGATGTCATCCCACCGAGTAGCGCTGCAGCACTGTCTGTTAGAAGTAGATGGCTGCCTTCCTGAAGATGTGACCTCTCAGCTGGTGAGGACTGCCACATGGAGCAAGCTGTGTAGTGTGGTCCTTGAATTAATAAAATAAAATAACCATAGGCTAGAGAGAAGGCTCAGCAATTAAGAGCTCATCGTTATGAGGACCTGAGTTTGACTCCCAGCACCCATACTGGAAGGCTCACAAACACATGTAACTTCAGCTCCGAGGGATCTGATGACTCCTCTGAGGACACCAGCCCTCATGTGCACATAAACACACACACACAATTTAAAATAATAAAATAAATCTGAAAACAAAGCAAACGCATTGCACAGAGAGTGGTAATTCATACCTATTTGTAATTCCAGCACTCAGGACAATGAGGCAAGCCAGTTGCCATGAGTTCCAGACCAGCCTGGGGCTACAGAGTGAGATGGCCTCATAAAACCAAAAAATAACATAACCAGAGAACTGCAACACTTAGGTAGATTTCCCAGCTCCACCTATTATAAGGGAAGCCAGGGAACCTTGTTTGGTGGGTGTATCCTCCAGCCTTCTTGCTGTGTCCAGAAATACCAGCTGTAGCTGCAGCATACATCCTGTCCCTCAGCATAGAAAGTCTATACACCAAATTGTGTGTGTGTGTGTGTGTGTGTGTGTGTGTGTGTGTGTGTGTGTGTGTGTGCATAGGAGTAGACTGAGACCAAGCAGCAGCAGCTTTAGGAATGTTCCTTCAGTTGCTTGCCAGGCTAATTGACCTGGGTAGGGGTGGGGGCAAGGGCAGGGATGGGAGGTTAATATATTTTTGAATAAGATTTCCTGTTACCGGGAGACATTCAACAGCAACAAAAAAAAAATAAATAAAAATTAAAAAAAAAGAAAAGAAAGAAAGAAGAAAAAGAAAGGAAGAAAAGAAAAAAGAAAGGAAAGAAAGGAAGGAAAAGAAAGATAAGGGGGAAAAGCTACAGGTTTTATTCAACCAGGACAATCCTATTAGGAAGAACAATGGTTAGCGCTTTCTGTAAAATCACTTGCCATCAATGAGCTTGTCAATCATTTATTCAGACACCCATTCTCTCAATACTTATTGAGTGCCTACTATATACTAACCACAATGCTCCATGTAAATATAATGGGCGTCAAGTGAACACTAGGTGTTCTAGATGAGTCTGTACTTTGGATAACAAGGTGACTGTTGCCACAGGCTGTTTAACCAACCTGGACTGGGTTGGTTCACATTTTCACATAACTCGCAGGTAACTGAATCAGCAGCATAACTACATTTTCTCTGTGCCTCAGTTTCCAGCTCTGCAAAGCAAGGCCCTAGCACTGAGCGTGAGGTGAGGGCCATCAGTATTACCACAGCCACCTCATTCCTGTACTCCCTGGTCCACAGATCACCGCTTGGGGGTATTTCCGACGCTAGCCAGGCCTCCTGCCGCTGACCCTGGGAATCGGGTCATGGTAGAAAAGGCGGGGTGTGCAGGACGCAGAGGGAGGGGTCCTTTGCGCGCGGCCACTCAAATTTCCCTAGAGCCGCGGGACAGACTAAAAACTCACTTCGGAGGAAGGGAAAGAGCGTGAAGTGGCTCTTTCGATCTGAGACACCCCCTCCCGGAGACATCACCCCCTCCCCCCAGCCAGGCGCGGAGTGAAATCTTAGAAGCCGAGGCTGCTGGGTTCGAACGGAATGCCGGAGTCGGTGGAAGTCGGCGCTAGTCCACCCGAAGGTCAGCGAGTTGTTTTGAGTTCTCGTACCCGGAAGGGGGGGGGGGCAGGGAAGAGAGGACGCCTGGGCCCGAGAGACCCCGCGTCAGAGCAGAAATTGTTTGTGCTCCGGAACAGGCAGCTCAGCGGAAGCCGCGACGGGGGCGGGTCACGTGCGGCGGTGGCCGTGCAGCTGGCGGGGGAGCCCGGCTAAGACAAGGGCCCGGCCGGGCGGGGGTGGCGCGGGGCGGCGGCTTTCGCAGCCCAAGGTGGAAGCCGAGTAGTCGGGGCTCCGGGAGCGAGGGGAGCCCGGAGCTCGAGCTCGGGAGGCGCGCGCCTAAGGAGGGGTGCTGTGGGATCCGGGGCGCTCCGAGCTCCGCGTGCTGCGGCGCCGGCGGGAGGAGAACGATGGCCGGGGGGGGGGGGGTTGTGGGGGCACAGGGACGCCAGCGGGGCTCCCTCCTGGCAAGAGCCAGATCCACGCGGAGATGACGCGAGTGTCTGAGACCTGAACAGGGAGGCGCCGCTCTTGCAGTCACCGGCCTTGTTTTCTTCTCTCTGGCAAATCCCGGAACGACCGGAACCGCCATCCTTGCCTGAGTCCCAGGGGCACCCCACTACGCTTGAGGGAGAATGCGTCCTGCAGGGCTATCCCGGGGGGAGGGCAGCAGAGGTGGCTTAGTGAGTCGGTGGCACGCACCAATTCACACCCCCCCTCCTTGGGGAGAGAGGAGAGGCACTCTGCTCCCCCCCCCCCAGGAGTATTACGTGGTCGAGGGGGTACTGGAGAGAAACCACCTGCACCACTCGGGTGCAGCGGGCCTCACACTTGCCCAAAGTGGCGCGTAATGCTCTTGCGTGGGACGGTTAAGGACACAAACTTGGTCATCTGCCAGAACCCCTGGGAACTCTCCACTTTGGTGTAGCATGCATTCGACAATGACCTGGACTATACTCCCCTTTCTAGGGGAGTCCCCGAGGCTCAGGACTGAGGCCTGGGAAGAGTGTAGTGGTGTGGGCTGGCCTGGGACGAGAAAGTCACCCCCGTTCCTCTAGCGAAGGCAGAGAACAGTTGTCTTACAAAGTTTCCTGTACTCCTCCCCACACACCCGAGTTGAGGAAGGGTGGCTCTTCCGGAGGTGAGGGAGGAGAGACTAGCCTCGAAGCCTGGACTGGTGTGCTAGTTCTTTTGACTGTGACCCTGGAGGGACACCCGGGCCCCAGCGTGTTCGAGTTCCAGACGCTGCAATTCAGTTCACTGCAGCGTCTGCTCATGGTCGCGGTAGCGGGTGCTGAGCAGAGTCCGGGACGACAGGAGACGCCATTTGCACACACTTGAACACACACACACACATACACACACACACCGCAGCTTGGCGGGGGCGGGGGTGTCGCCCTCCGCAGAAGCGTATTTCTGGCAGTGACACTGATTAGATGCTGTGCGGCTACGTGCACGGAATCAGGGTGGGCCTTCATCACTCCTGTTTCGCCACACACTTTTCTGGTGGGAAAGTTGTGGGTCGTCCCCCCCCCCCCCCGCCGCCGCCTTTCGCCGCACAGCTGCTGTCTCCGGGGGCGGAATTTGGAAAGCATGTTAGCTCAGCCTAGGGAGAGAGGATCTCGCCGGCCCGGGGAAGCCGCCGGGCCCAGGCCTCGAAAATCCAGCCCTGGCTTTGCGTCGAGCTGCCGAGCTGCCGAGTGAGGCGCTTACGCGCGCCCGGCCAGCCGAGGCCTGGTTTCCATCTGCCCCTTTTGCCTCCGTGTTAAGTTCGCCGGGGAAAACCCAACGATCCGTGCAAAGCCCCTCGGAGGAGCGCTACCCCCACCCCAGCCTGATCCTGACCGATGGAAAAAATGACAGTATAGGTCAGAACAGGCTGCCTGGGAGTATTAATGTGGCTGCCTCTGTTCCCGGTGCTAGAGGAGGATGGGCGCCTCGCCAGGAAACCACCGAGGGAGGAGCCATGAGGGCCGCCCGTCCCTCTTGAGGCTAGAAAACGTGGATTCTCAAAGGGACCAAATAAATGTGGTCAGACAGCTACGGGAACTTATCCCAGTTAAATACAGATTCACCGTGTGTATTTCAAGTGACATCCCCTCCCCCACAATCAAACACACTGAGCCGCTTAAAAATAGGATGAGAACAGGTTAATCCGTAGATGCGAATCTTACTGAAATGTCTGCTTATGAAACACGTCTTCTGGAGGGTCTGAGCTGAACCCCATTATCTTGGTATGGTCAATGTGTCCTAAGACAGAGGGGTCTCCTTTGCTCTCCCTTCGAGAATCTTTAATTAATAGAACTCAAAGAGACTATTTTAGTTATAGTTTCTATTTGAGGCTGCTTACTCTTCCTTGCATACTCCTGCCTCGGGTTATTTGTACTTCGCTTTTACACCCCACTCTTGTGGGTTTACTCTTGTCTTTCTTTTCCTGCCTATGTGCTGCAGGGTGCGGCAGCAGGAGGCCACCGAGCTGTGCGGCCGCCGCCGCCGCCGCCGCCGCCGCGGCCACCTCGGGACTCTCACTTGCGCACCACACGGCCTCGGAGGAGGGGAAATGTGAACTCTCCGGGTGGCGCTCGAGAACTGGGATTGTGATTTGGGTCTGAGGAATTGTTTCAGAGAGGCAGGTCGGCCAGGGCTTGTAGGGGATTGGAGACAGTACAGGGCAAGCCCCAGAGGTGACCCAAGCCCTTAGGAGCAAACCTTAGAGGTGTCCGTGTTCTTTGTCTTTCTCTGGGCTGGCGGGCTGGCTCTCACAGCTCGGATTTACTAAGAGCCACAGCCCATCGCCAGCACTTTTAAGCGAGTAGTCTACCGCTGGTAGCCATGTATGAGAAATGCCTTGTCTTCTAGGAGGGAAAAAGCAACCTCATGTTATGAGTTATAGTTGACACTTCAGGCCCTCCTTTACCACCCCCACACAGCTCCCTATGGTGCAAGACAGAGATAGTAAGGAGACCATTTCTTAACTAGGAATCTAGCCAATGCTGTTCACATAAACACTACTTATATTTGGGCGTCAGTAAAATGTAGTCTCCAATGGCAGACCACTTGACTTTTACCCAGCCTCTCCAGGAACAGGGTAGCCTTGAATCATTAGAAAGGGTAGGCTGGAAGGGTATTCTGGAAGACCTGTACTGTATCCCCTAAGATTGCTAGGAGAGTGTGGGTATAATGTCTGATCCCTGGCTGGAACTTGACATTAATCCAGACTAAATGAATGCCATTAAAAGAGCACTCTCACAGGGTGGAGGCTCATCCCTGCAATCCTAGCACTTAGGATATGGAGGCAGAGGATTGTCTTAAACTCCAGGCCCACCTGGGATCCAGAAGGAGACCCTGTGAGGAGTAGGGAAGGCACTCTTCCACACCACCAACACAGGTCTTTAAGGATAAGGTGTCAAGAGACAGTTTGAGGACATTTTGCATTAACTTTTCTGGGGACTGCCGGGCAGTGGTGGTGCACACCTTTAATTCCAGCATCCCAGCACTCGGAAGGCAGATGCAGGCGGATCTCTGATTTTGAGGCTAGCCTGGCCTACAGAGCGAGTTCCAGGACAGCCAGGGCTACATAGAGAAACCCTGCCCCCCAAACAAAAACTTTTCTGGTGACAATAACAATGTTCTTTCCACTTTGCCCAAACACGCCTCTGAATAGACCTGTGAGAAGTTTAACATGGAGGAGGTGCCCATCCTCACCCTCACCCCATAGGAAGGGAACACCAAATCCTAAGGAGCACATGTGGCAGGCACTACAGCAGCCTAAGCATTTATTTGTGGAAGCAGATTCTCCTCAAAACAACACTATTATGAGGTGGACGGACACTAAGACTGCTTTCCCTCCCTTACAGGTTGAGGACACGGAGGTCCGGAATTGTTGAGTAGCTTGCCCGAAGCCCCAACGTTTAGAATAGGCCCTGGACTGACCAGAAAAGAGGCCTGTGTTTCCTCTCCTACACTGTAGTCTATGTGATTTATTTAAGGGGGTGTTTCAAAGGGACTAACTGGACTCTTCCAAAGGAAAATGTGGCTTGAGATGCCCCACATTTTGGGCTGTTATTTTCCAAAGGAAAGCTCCAGAGTACGAAAACAGAATCTACCGTGAGTCTGTGACACAGAAAAGGCCAAGGAAGGCGGTGTTAAGGCCCCTAGCCCACCTAGCCACACAGCATCCGGCAGTCACGTCCGCCGGAGGTAACTAGGGCCTGGGGGGTAGCAGATTGCCTAGGAACTCCTTATCACCCATCGTCAGTGGACCTGTGCGGCTTAGCTAAACGGCCCGCCCGCGGTGGTGGCTGGTTCGTGCAGGTCCCCTGGCTCCAGGCGCGCCCCTGGGATCCTCCGGTGGATCTGGCTGGATGCCTAGTGGCGCCTCCCGGAGCTCCCGGCTGCTCTCCACTTGAGGTGCCAGCTCTGGGCTAAACTCCATTGCCTGGGGCTAGAGAGCCCAGTTCAGCAGCCCCGGGTGGAACAGCTGGTTCTGGTTGTTCGCGTTCAACTCAGCCGGGTTTACCACTAGCTCCCCAGACCCCCACCCCCACTCCCGCGCGCGCGCACACACGCTTTCCAGGCGCGCTCCGGGCCTCCACTTTCCCTTCCTCCTCCTCTGGCTCGCTCCGGTGCTTCGAAAGCTCGCGGCGATTGTTTGCTTCGAAGAGTCCAGGTGGGGAGGCTGTGCTGCCCTTCCCCCAGCCCGCGTATGTGCACACGCTGCTAAAGCCTGGGGCGCACTGCCAGGCCTGTGGATCCCCTTGTCCCCCGAGAAGTGGCAGCTGCTGGCGAGGATCTATTCTATCCGTGCTTCCGAGTGACCGCGTTGTAAAAATAGGAGACCAGTGCCTGGATTCGGGAGCGGCGGAGTAAATCCCACCTCCCGTGAAGGCTAGTAGGAGGTCTGCCCTTCCCAGCTAGGGTTGACCACAGCGTGACATCCCTACTGTGCCCGGGTGCCGCTGAGCGGCCTGGGCGCACTACGGGGCTTAGCGGTTTAGGGAGCCCAGGGGAGGCCGTCCAGGCATGGGAGAGAGCGCAGCGACCCTCGCGCCTCAAGGCAGAACACCTTTCCCGGAACGTTGAAACCCAGGGGATCCACTGCCATCTTCGCGTGACGAGTAGCGAGACGCTGGTGATTAAGTGTTTCAGGCTCCCTCCCGGGTTGCGGTTCTCTTGCTTTCCACAGGGCTAGAGAGATAAAGCCCGGGCGGCGGTGGGGAGGAGGGGGACGAGACGGCTCACACCACTGCACTCTCGACTTTGCCCACCAAGTTCAGTGTTGGTCCGGAGTGTGCCCCCCTTCCCGCCCCAGCCCACACCTCGCTGGGGCTCGAAGGCCTCTGTCTCCATCATCGATGGCTCAAATGTTGAGTTTCATGGGGAGGGGGCATATATTGCCGAAGCCACCAGGCCCCTCCCCCACTCCCATAGGGCTAAACCTAAACACAGGATTCCCACACCCACACCCCGAACTAATCCTTCCTCGCCTCCTGGGATTAACTGGACTCACAGGTCCATAAAACACTTCCGGCGGGGCCAGAGGGTCTGTCTGCAGAAATACTTTCAAATAGTCCTCGGTTGTGGGGAGTTGGA